TTACAGTAATGTTTCCTCCCCTCTGCTTGCATTTGGATAAGCTTTTTAGAGTGGGAGGGAGGGAAAGAGGAGTTACAAGCAGTCAGAATTCTTCTGCCTACTAGTTGATCTATCACCCAGCCTATACTTGTGTGTGAATTTTTGGATTACTTCTCCAGATAGGCGCATCATTGTTTCCAATTCCTTATGTTCCAGGGCAATGGTTCTTAACCAGAAATGTGTTAGAATTGCTTGGGAGGCTTTTTCAGGGACATGTCTGGGCTTTAGATGGTGCCGTGTTTCTGCTCAGCAGACCTCAGGTGGGGCCAGGGAATGTGTATGTTTTGAAAGCTGCCTAGGTGATTCTGATACACAACCCCAGGATGAACTCTGTTCCAGGAGTATCATTGGATCTAAATATGCACCTGCCTGAAGCAAAATGCCTATCTTCTTAGCCTGAATTGCATTTAGTTGAGGTTATTTGCTGTATCCATTATTGTGAATTTATCTTCAGCTGTTTTTATGCTTATTGTTGGTGTCTCAGCTGTCGTATTTGCTAATGTCATTCATAATTTCATATAATTTTGAGCTTTAGTTTTATCTATAAAATGGGATGATAATTTCTATTTTGTTTTATGAAGAATAAAGTTAAAATCGTATGAGAAATGATTAAAGACAGTGTTATAATTACTAAAATTAAGTTTTTTCACTGTATAATTAATGCTGGTTCCCAATTCTAGCTGTATAGTTTTAGTTTATAATGTGTCTTTCTGACAGTTGATCCGTTTTTAACTTTTATTTAAGTGTAATTTTTTTTTTATCTTACAAACTCATACTTTGTTAGGTACTGTGTTTTAAAATAGAACTTTTTGCATATGTGCAGGTAAAACCATAAATGAATCTTGCAAACATTTTGGCTATATTTCAAATGTTATTCTGATCTGTATTGGCTTTTTATAATATTTCTCAAAATATAGGAGTCAATCCCAGTTTATTAATTAAAGAAAATTACAGTAATCAATTTGTTTGGAACCAATTTTAAAGACTTTTCAGTGCTTTTCAAAACTTTAGTGATTTGAGATAATATTATGAGTGAGTACTAATTTTCCTTGCAATTTCCTGATTTATATTCAAAACAGGGAATTGAGGAAGGAAGGGGTACTGACACATGATATAAATGATTTATAGCTAGAAGTTTTTTAAAAACATGAATACATATAAAGAAATTGGAATATAAATGGGAGGTGAGGAGTATGAAGATGTAGACATTCTAGTACATACAAAGCACTATTTGTTTCCATGGTAGGTGGAGTCTATTGAAGAAAATCTGATTAATTATGAATGAATAACTTACACAATCAAAAAGATCTTCATATTTTTATTCATTCATTCAACAGATATTTACTGAATATCTGTGTGAAGACACCAATGAGTAAGACACAATTCCTGCCTTCAGGTAGCTTAAAGAAATAAAACAAGTAGCTTTCTTTCAAGTAGAAATAGTAAGTCTTCCCTGAATTATAGTTATTTGGAATAATTGCCATAAACAAAATATGGTAGTTTAGAGTAGGGGAAGATTATTTCCAACTCGAGGAATGTAGAATATTACAATAAACTCTGGTTGTTGGTAAGACTTTTTACCAATAAAGAGCTTCTACAGTAGGAAGAACAGAGTTCAAGGGTTTTTTTTTTTAAGTACTAGATGTTATATGATATGTCACTTTTATAATTTAAAAAATCTTTTAAACATATTTTATTTAATTTTTAACAACTGCTTTTCTGTTCTCTTGTGTATAGACTTCTTCATAAACACTTTCTAGTTTAAGGAAGTGTTGTAAGACCAATGAAACTATTTGAATGCTCATTTGGAGCTTAGCATTTTTGTTCACACTCCTCCCCCAATAGTTAGCCACTTCCCTTAATGATGTCATTCAATATCAACTTCCCACTAGACAACCTTTAAAGAAGTAGTGGGCAGGGATTTATTTGACCTTTAGTTCAACCACATAAATGATTTAAGATATCACTTTAAAAAATTTTTTTAATTTTTTAAGTTGAGTATTTTGAGTTATTGTAAGGAAAATGTATTTCACTTTAAATGTTCCTACAAGGATATATAAGCCTGTGAGATATTTGAAACCAAAATGTGAATTTGAATTACTTGAAATATACAAAAATATATAAGGATATGAAATTATGATATATCTGCATGCTTACATTTTTTTTCAATAAAATTGAAATAAGTATTATGAACTTGACTAAGTTAAATTCTTTTTTTTTTTCTGGCTCTTTGTCTTTTGAATAGATAAATAGGTAGTAGAGGCAAACACAAGAAGCCTGATCCAAATAGAATAAAATTAAAGGTGATAGTAATACTCTACTCAGTAACCTAACATAGAAACTATAAAGTCATTAGTGATTCCTTTTCTTTCTCTTTTTTTTATATATATTAATTTTTATTGATTTCAGAGAGGGAGGGAGAGGGGGAGAGAGCTAGAAAGCCGATGAGAGAGAATCATCGATTGGCTGCCTCCTGCATGCCCCCTACTGAAGATCGAGTCCACTACCCAGGCATGTGTACTTGACCTGAATCTAACCTAGCCAGCGAACCTTCAATCCTCACTCCATCCGCGGAGCCAAACCAGCTAGGACAAGGATTCTTTTTCTTAACCATAATGTTCAGTCAGTTACCAAGTACTGTCACTTTTATCCTTTAAATAACCCTTCTTTTCTATTATTTCTACCATATTTCAGACATACTCTCATCATCACTCATATATGGTAACAGCCTCTAAAACTGATCTCTTTGCTTTCTCTTTTCAATCTGTTTATTGCCACCAGAATTCTTATTTGAAAATTCTAATCTGATCACGTGATTTCCCTGCATAAGATCATTCCACTGATTGACACTCAGATTGTACTCTGGCTTTTGGTTCACTTTCTAAGCAGGTGGGAAAGCACCCCATTCCCATCAGGGCTATTTTGGTGATCCTTGAAATCTTCTCTTCCATTGAGGCTATATCTTCTATACTGGTCCACCTTTGGACAACCTGTTTCCTTTTCTTAGATTGCCTACCTGACCCCTTCTCCCTCCCTCTCCACCTTTGTGCTTCATCAACTCCTATTTTCCTTTGTGTTGTTTGCCTCACTGTTCTGTAAAATCCTTGAAAGTAGCAGTTGTGATACCATCATGGTATGACTATAAATCGTTTTAAGAAAGCACCTGAGCCCTAGCCGGCTTGGCTCAGTGGTTTGAGCATTGGCCTGTGGACTGAAAGGTCCCAGGTTCAATTCCGGTCAAAGGCATTTGCCTGGGTTGCAGGCTCGATCCCCAGTAGGGGGCGTGCAGGAGGCAGCCGACCAATGATTCTCTCTCATCATTGGTGTTTCTATCTCTATCTCTCTCTCTCTCTCCGCTTCTCCCTTCCTCTCTGAAATATATATATATATATAGCACCTGAAATAATCGACACTATTACTAGTACTTGTTATATTTGAGACACTTGGTAAGAACTTAACATTTTGTGTCTAATCCTCACAACAACCCACTGAGGCTGAACTGTTGTAATTAGCTCCATTTTATGCAGTGGGAGATTTAAGAAAATTAATAACATTTACAAGGTTGTCATTGTAAAGATTTAGCTGGGTAAGATTCAAAGGCGTATTCCTTTGAATTCATAATGCACTAAGACCCACTGTGTTGCCCTTTCTGAAGATTTGTTTGCATTCTAACATGGAATAAGCCTATAGTATATATGATTTTTTTTAAAGGGTATTTAATTTTAGTATAAAGGCTACTGAAGTGATCACACAAAAAAGGATATCTTATTGAGGCCCTTTAGAAATAACTAAAGTGATTAAGAAAGGCTTTTCACTGATGGAAGTTCTCTTCACGTGTGTGAAACAGACACATTGCTACGTGTTCTATTTGTAAGCACACTTGAGTGTCTTTAGTGAACTTTTGTTTCTACAATTTGGATAAGGGGGGGCATTAAGCTATATATTTTTTAGAGCGCTTTATTGACATATACTAAGTTGCACTTGGTTAAAGTATGCATTCTGGTGTTTGTTTTTTAATAATTCTTTTTTGTAAGTATTACATATGTCCCCTTTTTTTGTTCTAGTAAGTTTTGACATATGTACAACCTTGAAATCATTGTTTCCAATTATCATAATTAGCATGCCCCTTTCACCTCACTCAAACCCCCAATCTGTGTTCTGACATTATAGATTAGTATTTTACATATTCTAGAGTTTTATATGTATGGAATCATACAGCATGTGCTCTTTAAGCCTGGCTTTACCTCATCATAATTATTTTTGAGATTCATCTGTCATGTTTATCAGAAGTTCATTCTAAAGTTGCATATTTTGAATTGTATTTGTTATAGAAATAATTATTTTCTTTTCCTTTGTGGTATCTTATACTTTAGATGAGGCTGATTGAAGATTATGTTCAGCCTGAAGCTCCTTCTGGAACTTGTTTTGATAGACTCTGTAAAAAGTCCATTGACTGCAAGCATTTTAGATGCATTTACACTTCCAATGAGTAGTTTGTTAGTTCACTGTTAAGAGTCTGAGGTAAAAATCAAGCTGTTAAACTCACTTTTGGAGTATAACATTGTACTTCTGGAGATTTTCTTCTTGACTCTTCTGGGGGGACCTTGGGAGAAAGAAACTCTTCTGCCTGGTCTCATGTGAAAAGTGGGTATCCCCAAAGTGGCTATCTCAGAACTTCACGTTGGCCTTAGCTCTACATAGTAAGCGATAAAGTGCTAACCAATCAATATGATTTGGATGACGTGTGTTAACTCTATTTAGAGCTCAATTTGAGTGGGAGAGAAAGGTGTCTTTGCCACCCAATCTTAGATAATTACATTGTAACCTTGTTATTTAATTTGGGAGGGAAAATATTTTAGTCTGGTGTTTAAAAAAAAAAAAGGAAATGGTTAATAGTCATTATTATTGCTATTTGAATCTTACACTCCCCCCTCCTTTTTTTTTTTTTTTTTAAATTTCAGGTGGGTATAACCCATATATACAGATCATTGAACAACCCCGGCAGCGGGGAATGCGTTTTCGATACAAATGTGAAGGGCGATCAGCAGGCAGCATCCCGGGGGAGCACAGCACAGACAACAACCGAACATACCCATCTATCCAGGTAACAGACCATTCTCCTGTGTTGGTGTCTCACTCTTCGTTGCTTCATATTTTGGCTACAGCAATTGCATTAAAGGCCCAGTTTCTTTCTTTCTTTCTTTTTATAAGGAATTCTTTTTAATATATAGTTTATTGATTTTTTACAGAGAGGAAGAGAGAGAGATAGAGTTAGAAACATTGATGAGAGAGAGTCATCTATCAGCTGCCTCTTGCACACCCCCCACTGGGGATATGCCCGCAACCAAGGTACATGCCCTTGACCGGAATCGAACCCAGCACTCTTCAGTCCGCAGGCCGACGCTCTATCCACTGAGCCAAACCGGTTTCGACAAAGGCCCAGTTTCTTTACAGTCATTTCCATGGGCTTTTCTTCTTCTTTGTAACTAGAGGCCCGGTGCACGAAATTGTGAACGTGTAGGGTGCTTAGGCCTGGCCAGCAATCAGGACTGATCTGTGGGGTGACTGGTGGGGCGATTGTTGGCCCCGCCCCCTGCCGCCAGTCCCTTTCCTTTGCTGCCTCCCTCTCTGGGGCCATTGGCCTGGCCCGGGAACTTTTCTGCATTGAGCATCTGCCCCCTGGTGGTCAGTACCAGTCATCCTGCCATTTATTCATTCTATTTGCATATTAGGCTTTTATTATAAAGGATTGATTTGTACTAAATAGCTATCTAGGGTCATTTCTTAGCTATCGAATGGATTCTTCATCCCTGCTGATAGCTACGTTTGTGTGTTCATCTAAGTAGAGTGATTCACAGTGCTTAGAGTACATTGGCGGCTTTGAGGTGATGATTCCTTTCATGAAACACGGAGCTAATGAGGAAAAAGCATTCTCTCCTTCCAGCAGTGAGCAACATCATTCTGTAGATTAAAGACAGGGATTTGGGAACCCAGTCAGAATTCTTTCTACAATCATTTGGCTAGCCTAGGTTCTGTGGGAAAGGAGAATGAACATTTTTGCCTCCTTTTTCCTTGCCTTTATTGCCTACCCCTGATACTCTGGGTTTCATTGACTGATTTGAAATATAGTCATTTTCTAAATAGTTCTTTATGATAGCATAAGTTTTAAAAGTACTTTTTGATCCAAAATGATTTTGATAGTATTCTTTTCTTATAAAATATACTATATTTCATTTTATTTTAAATGAGTTTTTAGCCTTTAAATGCCAATTAAAAGTTTGAACAGCAGAGTAGATTTTGAAAAGTGTTAGTCTTTCTTCAACAGATGTTAATTCCCTGTTTCATAACTACATTATTTACAAAGATTATTCTATTAAACTTAAGGGGAAGGCTAAGTTATAGAATAAAGCAATGGCAAAATTATTGAATTCTAAGATCCTAATATTTGTCACTTTTGGGGCAGCAATATGGATTTGAGTTATTTAAATCCTTTTGTTTAAATGTTAAAATGAGAGAAATGCTACTAAAAGATAGAATTCCTTAATTCAGCTTATTCTGTACATTCTCGAAAATATTTCTAAGATCCAGTAGGTTCTGAACCCTTTCACATCTTGAGTTTTACATCAGCCTGTATTACAATTGTAAGTGGTTACTGTCTCTTTTATTCAGAAAGTCAATAAATACTGGTTGCTTAATTCAGGATTATAGATTTTAGTGTCCTCTTACCTATAAAGCTACTCATCATTACAGAACTGCTTTGCTCCTTTGTCATAAGCTGGTTTTGATATTCCCTGCTTTGTGTTTGCAAACTTCTTAGTTTCCAAATTAAACATTCTCTTCCTTTCCATGCTCAGAAAATCTTCTTTCCATGTTTAACTCCCCTCTTTATTCTCAGTGTCAAAAATTCTCAAATTTTACTGTGTGAAAACAATTTTGTGAAACTCAACTTGATTTTTGCAGGCCAGCAGGGGAAGACATTTAGGGGCAATCGGGATGGCAGGGAGTAGTGAGGCGTCGATCAGGCTGGCAGGGGAGTGGTTAGGGGATGATCAGGCTGGCAGGCAGAAGCGGTTAGGGGCAGTCAGGCAGGCAGGCAGGTGAGTGGTTGGGAACCAGCAATCCTGGATCCCAGTGGGATTGGGCCTAAACAGGCAGTCGGAGATCCCTCTAGAGGTCCCAGATTGGAGAGGATGCAGGCTGGGCTGAGGGATACACACCCCCATGCACGAATTTAGTGCACCAGGCCTCTAGTTTTGGTATAATTCTACTTGTTTTTAAAAGGAAAATAAGCAAAATCAGATGATATGGTCAATTGAAATTAATATGCCTTGGAACTGAGAGGTAAATTCTTCCTTACTGGTATTTTTGGCAAGTTTCATCTAAACTGCTGTTGCCAGCCAACTGGATACATTACTAGCTACATTATATAAATTGAACCCTCATTTAGTAGAATAGTTCCGCATGAGGAATATTTATGGATCATTTATTTCCCTCTTTTTCAGATTATGAACTGTTATGGAAAAGGAAAAGTGAGAATTACATTAGTCACAAAGAATGACCCATATAAACCTCATCCTCATGATTTAGTAGGAAAAGACTGCAGAGATGGCTACTATGAAGCAGAATTTGGACAAGAACGCAGGCCTTTATTGTAAGTATACAATCACAGACATCTTCAGGAATCAGGCAAGCCTGGGATGTTCTGTCTCCCATCTGTGTACATCTGATATTTTTTAGCAGAATAAACTAATTCCTCATTCTACTTCTATTTACTATAGTGTACATTTACATTTTCTTACCATTTACGTTAGAAGTATACTGTTAGCCCTAGCTGGTTTGGCTCAGTGGATAGAATGTTGACCTGTGGACTGAAGGGTCCCTGGTTCTATTCCAGTCAAGAGCACATACCTGGGTTGCAGGCTTGATCCCCAGTAGGGGATATGTAGGAGGCAGCCAATCAGTGATTCTCTCTCATCATTGATATTTCTCTTTCCCTTCCTCTCTGAAATCAATAAAAAATATATATATTTTTTAAAAATTATGTATCACTGTGCTGCCAAAAGAAAGGTCTATTTATTCTCTTAGTGAGAGAGTAAATTAATAAAACCTTTCTGGTAGGCAATTTAACAACTATATAGCAAAAGTCTGAAAGAAAAAAAAAATGAATGTCTCTTGAACTAGCAATTCTACTAGGAACTTATCCTCAGGAAACAATTAAGCATGCTTAGACACTTAGCTATGGTGATGTTCATTGCAGCTCTGTTAGTAATGGCAAAAGTTGGAAGCAATCCAAATAATAAACAAAGGAGGATTAGTTAAATAAACTGGTACATCCATGCAATGTACTTCTACATAACCTTAAAAATAACATTGAAATATGTCTTTGTATAGAAAGATATTCACAATATGTTAGGTAAATAGGTTTAAAACAATATGTGAAAAATATTTTTATTTAAAGTAAATGTGTATGTACCCGTGGTAGTATATACACTAAGGTATTAATAGTAGTTGTTTCTAGGTGGGTAAATTGTGAGGTTTCATGTTTTTCTTTTAATTTGTTTTTACTTTATAATTCATTTTTTTATAATGAACATGCATTGTGTTTGGGGGGGGGGATGAAACTAACAGGAAAAAATTAGTAGCTTCCTTATATCTTAGTAGTAACTATTTTAAAAACATATCTTAGTAGTAGCAATTTAGAAAATATACTTTAAAATAGTTTTCGTACAATAAGAACACAAAACATAAAATGTCTAGTAATATAAACTTGGCAAGAAATATTTTCTATTTCTATTATTTTGACCTCCCAACAGCATTTTGCACTGTAGATCACTCCTTCCTAAGCATTCTGATTCCTTGATTTCTGTGAGAACAAACTCTCCTGTTTTCCTACTTTTCTGGCGATTCCTTCTCAATTTTATAGGCAGTTAAGTTTGTGGACTACCTTAATTATACCCAATAATTCCCAATAGTGCCCTGTATGGCTGTTCTGCCTTTCCCCTTAATACAGGATCCCATTAAGGATCACACATTATATTTAATTGTCATGCTTATTAAGTCACCTTTCATTTAGAGCAGTTACCAGCCTTTTTTTTTTTATCTTTCATGAATGTTAACATTTTTGAAACATCCAAGCTGTTTTGAAGATTGTTGTTCCATATGGATTAGTCTGAAGCCCAAGATTATATCCATGTTCCCATGAATAGCATGTATAATATTTTCATGTTAATAGGAAACATTTTAGACAAGGAATCTACAGAGGTGATGCTATATTCTTCTCAAAAATATCTCTTCAGGAGGCATGATATTAATTTTCCCCACTTGTGATATTAATTGGTATTCTACAGTAGAGAAAAGCTTTCCCTTTTTACCCTTCCCCATATAAAAAAAAAAAATTCCATGGATTTTTATTTTCAGTGGATGGACATTATTTTGGTTTTCAAACTGACCCAGATTTGACTAATTCAAGCCCCTTCAGACTGTTTTCACTGTCCCCTGGCCATGGCACCATCTTTCTTCGAGCACTTCTTCCTGACACAACCAAGGGTTCAAGACCTAGTTACCTCTCCTTTTGCCACTGCCCTGAAATCAGCTCTCTTTCCTAAGGAGCCCTCGTTTTTTTCACTGGGGAATGTACTTTAGTCTGATTGTCTTTTTGACATAATATTCTCTTAAACACCTCAAAAGAACCTCAAATAGAATACGCTCCACACCATGCTCTTATATAATCATACCTCTTTCCTCTCAAAATCGGTCTCCTAATGTACCTTATCTAAGTCAGCAGTCGCCATTTGGTGGCCCATGGACCACTGGTGGTCCGTGAGGTCCAAAAGGTTGGAAACCACTGATGTAAGTGGTGGCTATAAAAGCCCCAGACATAGTTGTCATCCTTGACACCTCTCACCCAGGCGCACACGTTGAATTCACTGATGGGCACTTCCTAAAGAGTTCCTGAATCTGTCTCTCCACTGGTTTCAGTGACCTCCCCTCACTTCCACACTACCTTTGCTGTTGTCTAAATGTGAGCTGCGAAGAATAGCCTTCTGACTGCTCTTCTCCCATCAACTCTCTCTCTTTTTTTTTTTACCCCCCCTCCGCCCGCCTGAGTGCATAAATTTCATGCACCAGGCCTCTCCCATCAACTCTTTTTGTGTCCTTCACTTTAGCCAAAGTGATCTTTAAAAAAAAAAATTTTTTTTAATAAACAAATTTATGTATTCAGCGTGATCTTTTCAAAGACAAACCTGATGGTCACATCTCTGCTTAAAACATGTTAATGGCTATGTGACTCTTGGAATGAGGACAACATTCCTCATAGAGCCCTTGGGACCTGCTTGTATGTCCAGCCTTCTGTTCTGCTGTGTTCTCCTTGACCTCCGTGCTCCAGTCACAAGGCCTTCCTTTAGTTTCCGGGGCTCACAGTGCTCTTCTGTGGGCTCCTTCGCATGTTCTTTTCCTTCTGTCTGGAGCCTCTTGACTCTCCTTTTCCCCTAGCTCATTTCTGTTCATAGTAAGTATCACTTCTTACTAGAAGCCTGTCTGCTTCCCTGAGTTGACCAATGCTTTCCCATCATAGGGCAGTCATGGCATCAGGCATATCTCCGTTATAAAAATGGTCATGGTTTCAGTTTAGCGTTTTTGTGTGTGTGTTTACTTAATGTCTGTCTGCTTCACTACACTAAAGGTCAGCAAATTTCTCTTGTAAAGAGCCAGATAGTAAATATTGAACACTTTGCAGGCCATATAGTCTCTGTGGCAACTTCTCAGCTCTGCTGGTGCAGCATGAAAGCACCCCATAGACAGTACATTAGCAAATCTGTTGAGTTGTGCTCCAATAAAATTTTGCTTGAAAAAGCAGGCAGTGGGCCAGATTTGATCCATGGACTGGAGTTGGCCACCCCGTGCACTAGACTGAGCTTCGCGAGGGGAAGGATTCTATAGCCCCATTTTCCCCAGAGTTTTTGGTACATGACAAGAACCCCAAAATTTACTGAATAACTGTGAAGGAATGAATGTATGAGTCAGGTAATCTCTATGATCCTTGGTTTCCTCGTGTCAGAATTTCTGGAATCTCTACCACTTCTAATCTGTGACTAGCAGTCAAGTATGATTCAGATGAAACTAAATCAAGTAGTGTAAAAATATATTAAAGTGGAGGATTCTTTATAATCTTTTGTCAAAGGAAAAGGAACCAAGCTAAGAATCTTTCAAAGAAGCAGAATACTTTTGAGGAAGAGGATTGTGGTTTCAGGGTTTCAAGAAAGGATTATGAATTAAAGGCTCTTTTTTTTCTAGTTATTGGAAGCAGAGGAAAGAAATGTCAAGGGTAGTTTAGGTGCTAACAACATCACAATGCGATCAGTGGGAAGAGCATGAACAGCATGAGCCTGGAGAGGGTCATGTGGACAGGCAGCCTTTTGTTGCAAGTGCCCTGTGCAATTTGAACAAATAGGAATGTTATTATAATCAGTTTTGCTTCCTTATTTCACACCCACCCAGCTTTAATGATGTCATGGTTTTTCCATGTGGGAACAAGTATGACTGGTGGTGGCAGGGGAGTTCCCCCAACCATCATCTGTAGTACATATGCAAATTAGTAATATTTGTAGCTATTGAGAAGTTTTCCATAAATGACATTTTGAAACTTTTGTCAAATATTATTGTTAGTATCAAACATCTTTCTAATTAAAGAGCACATTTCAGTGCTTTCTTATGATGACTGGTTATTGTAACTTCATATAATATGACATAAAGTATATTCCACTGTGACTACTAGCAGTGTGGTCAGGGCTCAGATAACAAGTGTCTGTGGAGTGGAGTGGTCCAGGTGTGAGAGGACGCGCAGGCACCATGGCCAAGTGGAGAGCCCCCATCAGCTTCAGCAAGGTGTTTCTGTACCAGCCTACTCTTGCCAGACCTTTGAAAGGAAACCAGAAGTCAGACATCTGTATGCAATTTCCTGATTTTTAAATGTTGGTAGTCTATGAACTTTTTTAATGTAGACAACACTTTTATGGGTTCAGCAAAATATACCTGTGGGCTTCAGCCTGTGGGCATCTCTTACAACTTTTGCTTTACATGATCAAATATACAGGTTTTATTGATTTGATAATGAATTTGGTTAGGAAGTGAATTTTAGCTTGTTTAAAAAATAATTTTTTTGTATTGATTTTAGAGGAAGGGAGAGGGAGAGAGAGATGGAAACATGAATGATGAGAGAGAATCACTGGTTGGCTGCCTCCTGCATGTCCCCCTACTGGAAATCAAGCCCGCGACTCAGGCATATGCCCTTGATGGGAATCGAACCTGGGATCCTTTAGTCCACAGGCAGACACTTTATCCACTGAGCCAAACCCACTCAGGCTGAATTTTAGCTTTTTGATATCACTTCCCTGTTTATCTTTACCTACTTGGATGTAAAGGTATAATTGTAAAATATTGTATACAACAGCTATATGAGATGTATGATTTTTCTTTTAACAGTTTTAGAGTATAACCCCACTGTTTTTAGCCTCACATCTTTATTATAGCAGTTGGAAATTTATAACATGATTTATTATCTCCATCTGACAGTATGAAGACTCTTCATTGTTGGATGGATGCTTAATACTTAGGATATTCTTTAGTATTTATGTGTTTAAACTATAATGCATTTTGACAGTTCTGTGTTTTCTTTCTAGTTTTCAAAATTTGGGTATTCGATGTGTAAAGAAAAAAGAAGTAAAGGAAGCTATTATTTCAAGAATAAGGGCAGGAATCAATCCTTTCAATGGTAAGTATGTTTGATATAATAATTTTTGTTACTTGGATATTGATTTATTCATGTAAGTGATTTCTATTTGTATTTTAAACCTATGGTTAAAAGCTATCTTAAATTCTGTGTTCACTTTTCTACTTGTTGACTTCTATCTATGTCTGAATAATGTGTATTCAATATCTTTCAGTGTTAAAATTATGCTTTCTTATATCAGTAAAGAATGCCATTTTTCTATAAGTAAACCTCGGGAATGTTTTTCTTCATTCTGGAATGTAAAGCTCTTTTTAATTCAAGTATCATTGACATGAAATATATATTAGTTTCAGGTGTACCATCATAGTGATTTGTCATTTCTATACCTTATAAATGCAAGAAGTCTAGTAACCATCTGTCACTGTACAGTTATTGAGATATTATTGATTGTATTCACTGGGCTATATTCCTGTGACTCACTGATATAACTATGAGTTAGTAACCGCTTAATCCCCTCCACCTTTTTGCCTATCCCCGTGCCTCCCCACCCTCTGGCAACTATCAGTTCGTTCTCTGTATGAATCTGTTTTGTTTGTTCATTTGCTTAGTTTTTTTCATCCCACAGATAAGTGAAATGATGTAGTATTTGTCTTTCTCTGACTTATTTTACTTAGCGTAGTACCCTCTAGGTCCACCTATGTTGTCACACATAGTAAGATTTTATTACGGCTGAGTAATATTCCATTGGATATGTATACTGCATTTCTATTATCTGTTCATCTATTGACACGTAGGCTACTTCCATTATTGTACATAATGCTGCAGTAAACATAGGACTGCATATATCTTTTTTAATTAATGTTTTCAATTTTCTTTGGATAAATTCCAAGAAGTGGAATTGTTGAGTCCTTCTTTGTCTGTTGTTATAACTTTTGTTTTAAAGTCTATTTTGTCTGGTATAAGCATTGTTATCCTAGATATAAATATATTTTGGTTTTTTGGTTTCCATTTTCATGAAATATCTTTTTCCATCCCTTTACTTTCAATCTGTCTGTCTTTTGATCTAAAGTGACTCGCTTGGTTCTTGTTTTTTATTCATTTAGATACCTTGTGTCTTTTGAATGGAACACTTAGTTCATTACATTTAGGTATATAGGTATTGCCATTTTAATTGTTTTCATACTAACTTTATAAGTGATTATATCTTTACTATATGTTTGCCTTTACTAATGAATTCTTTTTTCTTTCAGTTTCTTATTTCTAGTTTTGGCCTTTTATTTTTTTCACTTAAAGAATTCCTTTTGCCCTAGCTGGTTTTGCTCAGAGCATTGGCCTGCAGACTGAAGAGTCCCGGGTTCAATTCTGGTCAAGGGCACATGCCTGGGTTGCGGGCTCGATCCCCGACTTGGTGCAGGAGGCAGCCAATCAGTGATTCTCTCTCATCATTGATGTTTCTATCTCTCCCTCTCTGAAATCAATAAACATATATTTAAAAAAAAAAAAAATTTCTTTTAGCCCTATAGCCAGTTTGGCTCAGAGTGTTGGCTCTCAGACTGAAGGGTCTCAGGTTTGATTCTGTTCAAGGGCACGTACTTCAGGTGCAGGCTCAATCCCCGATTTGGTCAGGGTGCATGTGGGATGCAGCCAGCCCATGTGTCTCTCCCCCGCCCTTCCACTTTCTCTAAAATTCAATGGAAAAAATATTCTTGGGTGAGAATTAATAATAACAACAAAATATTTTTTTTTAAGAAGAATTCTCTTGGACATTTCTTATGCTGGTTTAGTGGTGATGAATTCCTTTAGCTTATGCTTTTCGGGAACCTCTTCATCTCTTTCAATTCAGAATGATAATCTTGCTGGGTTTTCTGGTTGTAGGTTTTTCCCTTTTGTCAACTATATTCCCTTGAACATAATCTTGCCAATTCCTTTGGCCTGCCAAGTTTCTATGAAAAAATAGCTCATAGTCTTTTGGGCATTCTCTCATATGTATCTAGTTGTTTTTCTCTTTCTGCTTTTAAGGTTTTTTTCTTTATCTTTAACTTTTAACATTTCAAATATGAGGTGTCTTGATGTGGGTCTCTTTGGGTTCACTTTGTGTGGGGGACTCTCTGTGCTCCCTGAGTTTGGATATTTGTTTCCTTTGCTGAGTTGGGTGATTTCCATTGTCCTTTATTCCTGATCACTGATCAATTCTTCTGAATCATCTGATCTGCTGTTGATTTCCTCTTGTGTATTTTTGCATTTCAGTTGTTACATTCTTTAGTTCTGATAGATTCTTTTTTTTTTTTTTTAACAGTTTTTACCTCAAATTCTCATTGAGTCTAAAGAATTTGAGGAGCCTCTTTATGACTATTACTTTGAACTCTTCTCTAGGAGACAGCTTGCCTTCGTTTTGCTTAGTTATTTTTCAGGAGTTTTTCTTGTTTTATTATTTGGAACATATTCTTTTGTCTCTTCACTTTACCTGTTTGTTTCTGATCTACCTAACAGGTAGATCAGCTATATCTCCTGGTCTGGAAAAAGTCGCCTTACTTAGAGGGTGTCCTATGGGGTCCAGTGGTAGAATTCTCCCTTTTCACCAGAGCCAGGTACTTCAGAGGTGTTCCCTGTAGGAAACAGTGTGGCCTCCTCTTGTGGCCACAACTGCTAAGGACACACTGGTAGGCAAGGCTGGTTCCTGGCCAGGGTGGCTATGTAGCTTTGCCACAACTGTTACGGGCATACTGGTGTTCAGTACAGACCATCAGTGTAGCTGCCTGCAAGACCCAGTATCAACTGTTGAAGACACACTGCTGTGTGCTGGTGCCGACTAAGGCCGCCCGCCAGGGGTAGCAGGGAAGGAGTTGCTTTAGAAGGGTGCCAGCTTGGGTGGGTCATCAGGGAAATGCCAGAGTGGGATGAATAGTATTAGCATGCCCTGGTCAGTTGATTGGGTGTTGTCCTGAGCACCAAATGGTTGCTGTTTGATTACTAGTCAGGGCACAGGCCCGGGATGCAGGTTCTATCCCCAGTGGAGTATGCAGGAGGCAGCCGATTAATATTTTGCTCTCACAGCAATATTTCTCACCCTCTCCCTTTCTCTCTCTAAAAATCAATAAAAATATTTTTTTGATAAACATTGTTAGCAAGGTAAATGAAGAATGTCAGAAACGGTTCTTGAGAGTGTCATTGAGACACAGCTAGGTGGGAGAATAAAAAAAGGGACAATTGGCGCCCTCTAGCACTTCTGTCTCAAGAGAAAATTCCAACAGATACCTGTCCCTCCAACACACACCCTAAAAGTGGTCAACGTATCACTTTAACACGTGACCCAGGTGCTTTTCAAACTGCTGCCCCTGCACTGGGACTAAGAAAGAGCACAAGCTTGGTTTCCTCTCAGCCCTTTGGTCCTCCCAGACGTAAGCCCTGTTGGTTTTCAAAGACAGATGTTACGAGGGCTTCTCTTCCTCTTGCAGGTTCCACAGGCTGGGGCTCAGACCCCTCACTCTTTACAGGGGGGCCTCTGCCGTTGTGATATCCCTCTCACTTGTGGGCCACTGCATGGGGCGGTGGTAATAGGGTGGGTCCTAACTAGACTGAGTCTCTACCCTTCCATTTGGCTTTTTCTTTAGATCTGTAATTGTAGAAAATCTGTTCTGCTTTTTGTCTTAGGTCATTCTCTTAGATAGAGTAGTAGTAGCAGTTGTAGTTTTGGTGTCAGTGAGGAGAAGTGAGCTCAGTTCTTCCTACTCCACCATCTTTAGCTCAGAGCAGAAGCCTTGCTCTTGAATGCCGTTGTAGGCTGTCTGTGAAATGTTATTTCTTACAGATAATACACCTCTCCATGCAACAAACGTGTCTCTGGATCCTCTCAGAAACGTTCTGATTTTTTTTTTTAATGTGGCATTTCTTTTGCCACGTTAGCAGACAGTATACACTCCTCTTTCTGAATGTCGAATAGGCATTGTGTTAAGGTATTGGAGTGCATTTAACTCAAAGGTATATTGAACAGCGAAACTTAAAGCCCAGTGTGGAAGAAGTTTAGGAATAGTAGAAACATCCATGGGAGAGAAACATTTATCAGCTATCTCCTGCATACCCCCTACTGGGGAGCAAGCCCACAACCTGGCCATGTGCCCTGACTAGGAATTGATCTGGCAACCTCTTGATATGTGGGTTGATGTTCAACCACTGAATCACAATAGCTGGACTCCATTGAGTTTTAAAGAGAGTAGAAGGCAGTGGTAGAGACAGAGAGAGAAACATCTTGTGAGAGACACATTGATTGGCTGCCTCACACATGCGCCCTGACCAAGTCAGGGATTGAGCCTGCAACTGAGGTACATGTTCTTGACCAGAATTGAACCTGAGACCCATCAGTCCTCAGGCTGACACTCTAACCACTGAGCAACCCACTAGGGCTATATTATATATTTTAAATTTTATATTTTTCAACTACAGTTGACATACAATGTTATATTAGTTTTAGGTGTACAACCCAGTGATTAGACATTATAATACTCCTTTAGATTTTTCTTGTCTAAGAAATCAGCTGGCAGTCTTATGGGAGCTCCCTTTTTACGGGAGACCTAACTGCTTTTCTCTTTTCACTTTTAAGATTCTCTCTTTGTCTTTAAAATTTGCCATTTTAATTATAATATGTCTTGGTGTGGGCCTCTTTGGGTTCATCTCGTTTGGAACTCCCTGAGATTCCTAAGCTTGTATGTTTATTTCCTTCACCAGTTTAGGAAAGTTTGATGTCATTTTTTCAAATATATCTTCAATTTTTTTGCTCTCTCTCTTCTCTTTCTGGCACCCCCATGATGTACATTTTGGTACACTTGAAGTTGTGCCAGAGGCTTCTTATGCTATCCTCATTTTTTAATTCTCTTTTCTTTTTGTTCTCCTGTTTGGATATTTTCTGCTTCCTTATCCTCCAAATCTCTGATGTCATCTTCTGCTTCATCTGCTCTACTGTTGATTCCCTATATTCATTTCAGTTAATATATTTGTTATTTCTGACTAGTTCCATTTTTATGTTTTCTGTCTCTTTGTTGATGTTCTCTGTTGTTGTTAAAGTTCATCTGCTTTTTCTCTAAGTTCATTGAGCATCCTTATTACTAGTGTCTTAAACTCTACAAGTGGTAGATTGCTTCTCTCCATTTTGTTTAGTAGTTCTTCTGGAGTTCTGTTCTATTCTTTCATTTGAGACATGTTTCTTTGTCTCTCATTTTGGCAGCCTCCCTGTGTTTGTTTTTATGTATTAGATAGAGCTGCTCTTTCTCCTGGGTTTAGTAGTATGGTCTTATGTAGTAGGTGTCCTGTAGGGTCCAGTGGCACATCCTCTCTGTTCACCCAAGCTGGACACTCCAGGTGCACCCCCTTTGGGCTGTGTATACCCTCCTGTTGTAGTTGAGCCTTGATTGCTGTTGGCACATCAATGGGAGGGATTTACCCTCAGGCTGAACAGCTAAAAGGACTGGCTTTAGCCACATGAAAGATCAGTTTTGCAGAGGCCCACTCAACAGAGCAGGACTTACTTCAATGGAGCTCTGGTGCCCACTTAGTCTGCTCCTTGAGTGTGTGCCTATGGAGGTGGTTGGGTGGTGCTTTGATATGGTCCAAAATTGTCCCATGGTATGCTTCCTCTGGGACCTTCCATGAGGTGCAGGCCAAGGTCAGCCGCCAGCATGAGCTACAAAGCTATCTGCAGATAGCTGCTACTTGTGCTGGTCTTGGAGGTGCCCAGAAGATGCCAAGATGCAAACCAAGGTCAACTGCCAGTAGTGCTGGGCCTGGAGCCATTTAGTGAGAGGTACAGGCACACTGAGGTCATATGCTGCTTGTTTAAGAGATTCTAGGAAAGTTGGAAGCATGAGCCAAGACAGGCCATTCATATTGAAAAATTACTGCAGCCCAGCTGGTATGGCTCATTGGTTGAGCATCAACCTATGAATCAGGAGGATACAGTTTGGTTCCCAGTCAGGGTTGCATGCAGGCTTGATCCTCAGTAGGGGACATGAAAGATCCAATCAATGATCCTCTGAAACTGAGATATCCCTCCTGACTTTTATTCACTACTTGTGAGTGTGAGACTAGCTTGTTCTGCGTCTCTGCCCCTCCAATCTCGGTGTGATTTCTTTAGTTGTAGGACTTCTATTCAGCTAGATTTCAGGCGATTCTAAATGGTGGTTGTTCTGTAGTTTAGTTGTAATTTTGATGTGGTATATGAGGATGAAAGTACTGTGTTTATCTACATTGCCATCGTGATCAGAGCACTTATTTTAAAAATCACTTTATTTTGTCTCCTCATATGTCTGGTTATTTAATATAGAGTATCAGTCATTGTATGTGAAAAATTGTAGAGATTTCAGTTCTAGGATGTTATCTCCTTTCAGATAGTGACTTGTGGTAGTGACTGATTTAGGATATTTGAAGCTGGGCTTTCATCTTGTGAGTCTCTAGTGTCTTTCCAGTTAGCCCTTACTTCTAGGGTATAGTTGAGTTCCTCCAGGGATCCTAACCAAAGCATTGAACATTTATCAGATTCTCCATCCTTGGCAGAACCCTGAACTTCTTATCTTTCCCTTACAGTTTCTTGGGAGTTCATCTCAACTTCTCATCCTCTTAGCCACCTCTTACAAAACTGGCAGATTATATCTGCAAAAAAGAGCCCTTTTGTTCTGAATTTACCTCTCTGGGTTTCTGTAATAATTGTGATTTTATGGTATGTATCCCTATTCTTGGCACAGAGCTCCTAAAATCCTTGGAATTTGCTAAATGATAAGAGCTAAAAAGGTAAGAAGAATGTCTGTTGTTGCCAAAACAAGCCTCTTTAAACACATCTGAGTTTATGTTAATGAGGTGGCTTGAAAAACACCTAATGGTGGTGGGTTCTTGGTGTCAGAGGAACCAATCAGTTGGGCTTTTAGAGTTGGACCATTCAACCTCATCCTTTTGCCTCTGGAAAGGGAAGGGGCTGGAGGTTGAATTAATCACCACTGTCCAATGACTTGGTCAGTCATTGTTCAAAATGAAGCCCCCCTAAAAATCCTGACTGAAGGGGCTGGGAGAACTTGGTTGGTGAACATGCAGAGGTGCTGGGAGGGTGGCATTCCCAGAGGATCATGGATGCTCAGTATAATCAATACGGATCTTTTCTTATGCATCTGGCTGTTCCTGAGTTGTTTCCTTTTAGAATAAACTGAATTCTGTGCAAATAATCAAACCTGAGGAGTGGGTCATGAAACTCCCAAATTTGTAGCCAGTTAGTCAGAAGCATAAATGACAACGTGGACTTGTGATTGGTTTCTTAAGTGTGTGGGGTTGAGCAAGGTCTTGTGGGATTGAGCCCTTGCTTGTGGGATCTTTGTGAATCCCAGGTGGTTAGTGTCAGAATTGAGTTAAATTGCAGGACACCCAATTGGTGTTTTGAGGGTTAGAGAATTGCTGTGTGTGAAAAAACACACAAACATCAGAAGTGTTGGTTAAGTAGTGAGTCAAGAGAAACAGGAATGTTTTTCTTAACAGTTCTCTATCCTGACCTAGCCCCATGATTCTTCGTGATCTTGTTAGCTCTTTGATGCCTTTAGAGGACTTTTGTTTCATAGTTTGTCCACCTTTTTTAGTTCTCATGGTACACCTGATTCTAATTACATATGTCACCCGCCATTACTAAAAGCAGAACCTCCCTCTGTTGATATTTGCTTTATAGTTTTCTTCAGCAAATGTTTGATTGTTTAACAGGCCTTTCCTTAATTTTACAGTCACTCACTGACTTAAAAAGTTCTTTATTTTCTTAAAAGCTTAAGAAAATGTTCAATGTGTATTATACGTAAGCCACTGTGTTCCATGTTTAATGAAGATGCATCAACACCCATTCTGCTTTCATGGAACTTAGCCTAATTGGGTAAAAAGAGGCATATGTAGAGGATAATTATGCAAAACATGTTAAAAAAAATAACTTTAAATGTCTAAGAGAGGTATATAGGTCAAGGTTACACTGACTTAGAGAAGGAAGATATATTCCTTCCATTTCAAAGCATGGAGTTTTATGTACCATTTTAAGAGATTTTAAATGAACTTTTTATTGAGTCTAATTTATATACAATTATATTTACCCAAATATATACTCCCATGGAACACCACCACAATCAAGATGAGGAACTTTTCCACCACCACCCCAAAATGTCCCCAGTCTGCTTCCCGTCAATCCTCTCTCCCTCCTCTGGCACCAGTCAACTATTCATTTGCTTTCTGTCACCATCAATCAGTGTTTTCTGTAACTTCATATAAACGGAAGCATAAATATATTTTGCTCAAAATGTTGTTGAAATACATTCATGTCAGGGTCTATACCCAGAGCCTGTTCTTTAATGTATGCTGTCACCGTTTGTTTATATTACTTCCATAGGTTTGTTTTTCAACTTGTCAGGTGCACTTAGCTAATAATTTATTTTTTTGTATATTGATTACTCATCTTTGAAATTGATAAACATTAATGTCTTGGATTCTAAATGTATAAAGCTATAAAAAAATCTATTTCAGAGAGGTAGACGCTCTCATTGCCTACAATAATTGTGCCAGTAGAGTGTTTGGATCACACATCACATTTTGATCTTTTAGTTGTATAAATATGTTCTAATAGACTCCTTCAAGTGCTTGGCTTAATAATAGTGATAATGGGATCATTTTTAATCTTGTGATAGCTGCTGAGAATATGAATGTAGTTTAAATAAAAATAGGAAAATTATATTGTAGTTTTTGTTATTGTCTGTAAGACTATTTGGATTTTAGCTGTTTTCAAATTTAGTGTTTCAAATTTTAATACCCTTTTAAAAATAAAAATTTTCATAAGATTTAATATGTGTTTCATGCTTTTAAAAATAAGACTATGTTGTTATGATTTATTGCCACAGCTTATGGTATTCTTTGAAAAGGCAGAGTAATATTTTCCTTTGGAACTGGATTTTTTTTCCAATATCAATTAACAAACATATTCTTTCATAAGGAATGTGTTTTTATATTTTCTAGAATTATAAAATGTTCCAGCTATAGGGTTTGTTTGTATTTTTTAAATAAAATAAATTTGTACATAAAATTTCTTATACAAAGAAAGCTACCTTATCTCATCCAGTGTCCTCTTGGTATTTAATTCCTAAAGTTCTAAATTTTAACAGATATTCCTTTTGTCACTTGATACAAAATATATGTAAAATTTCCTAATAGAGTTTAGTTTTTAAGAGCCTAGGCTCTGGATCCAATTACCTGAGTTTGAATTTCTATTCTGCCACTGAGCTGTGAAACTTGGGACAAGTAATTTCATTTCTTTAAAATTAGCTTCTCATAAAATGGGGGTGTTAGTCATTCTTGTACAGGTTTAGGAGATAATTTACAGAGTTTTTAACACAATGACTGGACATGTGTGTTGAATTAATGAATGAATGCCTAGTCTCTGTTGTATATAACCAACTATATTTGTAAAAATTTTATATTAATTCAATTTGGGATTCTGCTCCAAATTCCAGGTGACTGGGATAGTTACTTCCTGACCATGGTAATAACTTCATGAATACTATTAGAGACTACATAATATACCAATGATAAAAGGCACTCTTGATATTGTGTATGATTCTATTTTAGTTAGTGCAGATTTGGACACTACTCAAGTTTATTGGACATATTGGGCAGGGAGGAGGAACGAGCAGGGATTTTAGTTCTAAGTGAATATTCTACATTCTTTAAAAAACAAAAATGTACCATTCAGTCCCTGAACCACAGCTGCTTGATACTGAAGATTGCGACCTCAATGTAGTGAGACTGTGTTTTCAAGTTTTCCTCTATGATGAACATGGTAATTTGACGACTACTCTACCTCCTGTTGTCTCTAACCCAATTTATGACAACCGTAAGTACTTCATATTCTTCGTTTGTAGCCTTATTAGCTTGGTGTGTGTGTGAGTGTGTGTGTGTGTGTGTGTGTGTGTTTAATATAGCATAATTTTTAAAGTAATTTGGTACTTAGAAAAACAATATCTCTATTATAGGAAAAATTCAAACATTCCTGAAATAAATAACAGGAAATCATCACTGATCTTAAAAAAAAAAAAATCTCCCTTCTTAGCAATGTATTCGAGTAGTTTTCCCTTCCAGGCACCCTATTCTTTTCAGTAGTTGCATATTGCAGTATATGGCTATATAATAATTTTATTACATTATTACCCTATTATAAGACATTTGGTTTGTTTCCTCCTCATTTTTTTCCCTTTTCTTCTAACACTTTGTACTGCAGCAAGTATTCTGCTTGTGCTTATCTTGTGCAAGTCTTCATCATACATTTGCAGAGTAGAATGTTGGCAAATGCTAGGTCAAAGGATACTGACATTTATAGTTTTAAAAGATTATGAAATTGCCTTCATATTGTGTGAGTGTGTGTGTGTGTGTGTGTGCTCTAATAAATGATCACCAGTGGTATATGACCATACCTGTCTTGCTTGTAGAAAGATAGTGGTATAAAGAGCTATAAAGGTAGATTAGATTGTTATCACAGAGAGCTTTGAATGCCAGGGAGAGTTACTGGAATATTGGTCCAGATAACAGGAAGCATGAAAAGTGCCTTTGGTCATGATTTACTAAGATTAGTTTATTGACAGTGTGTAGAAGGATGGAAAGAATCAGAATTCAGAAGCAGGAAGATTTAGTTAGAGGACATGTCTTTGCCTAGAAAGTTACTCTGAACCAGTCCAGACAATGTAGTCAGAAGGGAAAAGGTCAGATGTGGATGATTAATGTATTTAGTGTTCTTAACTTACTTACACATTCAAGTTGGGTTTTTTGTTTTTTTTTTAATCTGTTCTGTAGATTGTTTTCCTAAAATTCTCTCCATCAAAAAGAAATGAAATATTAAGGTAGCGACCCATTAAAAATCTCTTCATATTTAGGTGCTCCTAATACTGCAGAATTAAGGATTTGCCGTGTAAACAAGAACTGTGGAAGTGTCAAAGGAGGAGATGAAATATTTCTGCTCTGTGACAAAGTTCAGAAAGGTATTTTTTTTTTGTCTTTTGTGTGTTTGTTTCATGGACTTCAGAATATATTTTAAGTTAATAGATAACTTTACTTTGTTTCCCCACTGATAGTTCTTTGCTTTCTTGTTCACCAGATGACATAGAGGTTCGGTTTGCATTGAATGACTGGGAAGCCAAAGGCATCTTTTCGCAAGCTGATGTGCACCGTCAGGTGGCCATTGTTTTCCGGACCCCCCCGTACTGCAAAGTGATCACAGAGCCAGTGACCGTGAAGATGCAGTTGCGGAGACCTTCTGACCAGGAAGTTAGTGAGCCGATGGACTTCAGATATCTGCCAGATGAAAAAGGTGTGCCTTCTTAGTGGTCATGTTTTATATATTTCTTAACATGAGCCCTGCTAATAATATTTTTTGGTAAGATACCTTGAAACACAGGTGGTGGTGGTGGTGGTGGTGGTGGTGGTTTTTCTCCATAATTTACATTGCTTTGCCTGAGAGTTTTCCATTGGGTTTTTTTTTTTTCAATTGATTGATCTGTGTGCCCTTTACACCTCTTTCTTAGGAAAGGAATCTTGAATAATTTCAAAGTATCTAAACTGTTTGTCAAAATTTGTTTTATAGTTGAGGAGGTTTTTATAGATAGCAAACTTGCCAGCCAGAGAGTAGTCTCCATTTTGGTCCTTTTCTGCCTTTATTGCATTAGTTGACGTTTTTGACTTAGAGATGTTAGAAGAAAGCAAGATAAATATCAAACTTTTTTTTACTAAGAGAAAAATACCCTTTATCACTGGCTTAGGACACACTCTGCAATATCTATTAAGTCCATATTATGTACATTTATTAAAGCATTTTTTATATAGGGATAAGACTATTAATTAAAGGAGAAGAAGCATGATGATTCATTCACATGCTTTCTGGTTTCTTTCTAACCAGATACTTATGGCAATAAAGCAAAGAAACAAAAAACAACTCTACTTTTCCAGAAACTGTGGAATGATTGTGGTAAGAATGTTTTTGGATTGATTCATATTTAAATAGATTTTTTTTTTGGGGGGGGGGGATTGCTTTATTCAGATTTGCACATTTTAACTGATAATGTTATTTTTCAAACTTACACTTAATAATGTTAAAACTTTATCACAGCAGTTAATTTTCCTGAAAGACCTAGACCTGGTCCCCTAGGATCAACTGGAGAAGGAAGATTCATTAAAAAAGGTATTTTGTTCCCTATAGAATATCCCTTGTCATTGGAAAGACCATGGCTTTGCATAATATGTTGGAATATCAAAAAAGCAGTTTCATGTCTAAGAATGAAACTGCTTTTTTGATATTTTCCACTCCTACTAACTTTTTCATGCTTTGAATATTGAATGGATTGGTCTTGGCCTCCAAAGGTCCTATTGGAAACGGGTTTTAGGGAGTTACTGTTTGAGAAATTACATTTCGTTCATATGGTGATAACTTCACTAATTTCGGTATGTCATACAAGAAACAGTTTAGATCCAGCCGGTAGCCTGTCTTTATAAACAGAGTTTCGCTGGAACATGCTCATTTGATTACAAATTGTCTATGGCTCTTTTTTCACCACAGTCGTAGGGTTGGTAGTTCCAACAAAGGCTGCAAAGCCTAAAATGTTTACTATCTGGCCCTTTATTAAAAAAAAAAAAAAGTTGTCAATTTCTGGTTTCGATCATTCTACCAGAGTTAGTTACATTGCTTAATTGCTTAGTTCTTTTGCCCCTTATATTCTTAAACCAGTGCTTACTATGTAAAGTAGTCACAATAATGTGTAAATAAACACAGAATCCTTCATTTTTTTTCTGACCAGAAATTTGTAGTACCTTAGTGTGTTATATCTTAATACATCTTAGATAATTATGTGGACTTTCAATCATCCCCACTGAGTGATTTTTGGCTATTTAGGGGCCCATTAACAGAAATTCTAATATTCATCTCTCACTTTCCAAAAATATTTTTATAAAACCTCAGAAACTGGATTTCCAGATTTGACTGGAATGAAATCTGTGCCAAAATAACTTAGCAATATTATTTATAGGTATTTGTAAAACAGTGTCGCAGAACTTAGTTTAAGGCTTCTGTCATCATTTTAGTGCCATTTAAATTTTTAACTTGAAATGCTACATCAGCGTTCTTGAGAATTTCCTTTATTAGTGTGTTTGTGCAATTTTTAGAAATAGAACTTTCTATAATTTTTTTCATTTCAGTGTTGTAATAACATATTTCCCCTTCCACAGAATCAAACTCGTTTCCTCATGGTGCAGTTTTGACAGAAATGTCCCAGCCAGCAGGGGTTTCGAGTCAAGCAGAACCTTATTACTCCCCATCTGTGTCCATCTCGAGTGCAATGCCACATCATGCCTCAGCCATGCCCCCAATGGTACTTCAGCCTTCTTCAAGCTGCTGGTCCTCAGAGGCCCACCCTGCCTCATGCTCAGTCAACACAAATCCACTGAGTAGTTTTTCAACTGGGACAATTTCCTCGAATTCACAGGTTATCCCAACATTCACAGAAATGCCTGTCGAATTGCATGCTTCTAATGCTTGCCTTTATAACAGTGCCAATGACACAGGCAGAATGGAAATGCCATCCATGCCGCCCGCTGCCTTCTGTGGCATTTCTAACGCCAGCATGCTGCAGAATTGCTCTGTGAATATGATCACGCCCAACAATGACAGCATGAGGGAGACTGACAGTTCGAGACTTATGAGAATGAATGTTGGAAGCCCCTCTTGCAACTCGGTGTTAGACCAACAGGAATTGAGACAGCTCCATCAGATGTCCTCTTCCAGCATGTCGGCAGGCGCCAATTCCGGTACCACTGCTTTCGCTTCACAGTCAGAGGCATTTGAGGGATCTGGCTTCAGTTGTGCAGATAACAGCATGCTGAACGAGCCAGGGCCTTCGAATGGTACTAATCCAAATGGTCATGGTTTTGTTCAAAGTCAGTATTCAGGTATTGGCACTATGCAGAATGAACAGTTGAGCGACCAATATGCATTTGAATTTTACCGAGTTGACTTGTAAGACTGAAATGATGGTTCAAACTTTAAATCCTCTTAAATGTTTGCAATCGTGTTGGTATTACCTATTTTCTATTCCTCCCGCCATACGTAAGGGATTTCTCTGATAGGCTCTCTTGGCTGTGGGGCTCCTCTGAGAAGTGGAAGAGAGGGATGAACTTATCTCTCAACTTCAGGAAGAGCTGCAAAAAGCCCCAAGACTTTGCTTCAAGAGTAAATAAATCTACACCATCTGAACTCTAGGCTGTGATGCCCCATGGAATCTTGCTCATAGTGTATTTAAATTAGCACAGATTTCAGTCTAGGTTAGATCATTATTTGACCATTAGAAGTGTATAATGAATCTATATATATAAAAAGCCAGCAACTGGAACACTGTAATGACCAGAACAATCAGTCACTATGATGCCCACTGTGGCCAGTGAACCGGCCAACATCCTGCAGCCCCTCCCCCCAGCCAGCCCCCCTTGATTAACCCCCCCATAGGAGACGGGGCTGGCCAGCCAACCTCCCACAGCCCCTCTCGCGCATCCCCCCCTCCCCACTCAGGGGCAGGACTGGCCAGCCCACTGCCCACAACCCCTCCCCCCAGCCGGCCCAGCCCTGATCAGCCCCTATTGGGGCTGGCTGGCCAGCCAACCTCCCCCCCATCTCATCCTGACAGGCCTGGCCCCAATCTGCCCCCCCCCCCCTACACGAATTCATGAACAGACCTCTAGTTTTAAATAAAATCAATTTTTCAATTTAAAAAAGCACATACTACACCTTTGGGTATGTAGAATACAAAGTTGGAAATTGCCAGAAAAGGAACAATCCAAAGTAGACATTTAAAAGGGCTTTAGTGTCTCTGCTTTTGAAGCACGTGGCCTGATCCTGTGTGTGGTGGGAGTTCTGGCTTTAGAGTCCCCCCCGCGTTTCCGCAGAACTGAGCGGAGAGAACAGGAGGGCACAGCTCCAGTTTTTCTAAGTATTCTCTTTAATATTTCTTTTGTATTGAATTAATGTATTTCTAGTTAAACGAGTTAACTGATATTTGCTTTTAAGCAAATTTAAGGTAAAACCTGTAATGGCTATGTCATTGGAAAAATAAATTTCTTATTATTTTTGAGGCCCATGGGCCAAAGTGACCCCTAAGGGGTTTTTCTGAGGCTTTTTGGAGTTTCTTAGATTTATATGTAACTCAGAATTTCTTTAAAATGCTAAGTTGGACAGAAGGGCGCTTTTTAGGTATGAGAGGTTCTCTACTTTTTGGATTGTTTAAATCCATATCTTTACAATAGCTTGTGATTTTAGGTTTACACCTATGTTCTTAACGGGAAAAATTTCTTTGGACCTCTTCTCTTATGTGTCCTCAATCCCTGCGAGTTCATTCAGTTTCATGCAGTCGACTCTGAAATTTTACCCCTAGCTTAGATCTGTCCTCTGAATAGCAGATTTGGCATTTACTCATGTGTGTAAAACTGCTTATTTAACATTTGTATCTAGAAATCTAATTAAAGATCAAACCCAACACATTCTTGATCTTCCCTCCCAAACGTGCTTCTCTTTTAAGTCTTGCCCCGTCTCAGTAAATGGCAATGCCATGCCTCTAGTTGCTCAGGTCCAGGTCTATGGACTCATCCTTGATTCTTTTTTCCTTTTATCTCCCATATCCAAATCTGTCAGCAAACCTGGTAGGTCCTACCTTCAGAATACATCCAAAGCTGGCCACCTCTTGTGACCTCTACCATTAACATCCTGTTCCAAGCAACCATCATCTTTTGCCTAGATTGAAGGCTATTTCCTCCTGAAACCCTCTTATTTCCTTGGGTCCCTACAGTCTGTTCTCCATACAGTAGCCAGGATGATTATTTTTAAGCCACATCAAACCACATCATTTAACTGCCCAAAACCAGCCAATGCCTCCCCATCTCAGAGAGGACGCCAAGGTCCTTGAGATGAGCAGGTCCTCGCTCCCTCTCCTACCTCATCTACCACCATTCCCCCTGCCCCTCAGCCACATGTGCTCTGGCCTCAGTGCTCCTCTTTGTACTGCCTGGTGGTCTTTGTACTGGTTGTCCTTTCTGCCTGGGATGGTTTTCTCTCAGATGCACGCAGGACACCCTTCTCACACCCTTCAGTCTCACTCCACCTTGCCCGCTCAAAGCCTTCCTCGACACTATCACTAGTTACCCGCACTCCAGGTCCCTTCCTTTATCTTTCCCCATAACCTTATCCAAGCACTCATTTGTTTACTGTTTGTCTTCTTGTACTGGAATATAAGCTCCTTGAGGGCAGAAGTGATTTGTTTCGTTTGTAGAATATAGCTTGTAGAACAGTGTGTCTGCCTCGGGTGAAGCAACCAGTAAACCCTCAAAGTCCTACAGATACAACTGTGTTTTCTGAAACAAAGAATAGCTTTAATTATTAGATGCTCATGGTTTTCATAGTGCTGTTTAATGAGACATCGGGTATATATCAGAATCATGTACATTTAAGACAGAGATTGATTAATGGTCATTCAAGTAGTTGGAAAGCGAAGTATAATTGTTAATGGGATTGTCATGATGCGAAGTAACTGACTTATTAAAGACCAGGTTTATTTTATAACTAGAGCCTACCATAAATGTTGAGCATATTCCTAGCTAGAAACAAGTCGTTTTGTTAGAGAATAGTAAGAAGCTAGGAAAATTCCAGGACAAGCAGAATTTGGAAACTAAGACAGAGTTAAACAGCACTTTGCAGCCACCTAGTACCCTATCTTCCCTCATCCAAGGATAATTAACAGTAAATGATTCGCACATCTCCTCCCCTACTGGAAGGGAAATAGCTTAAATCACCCTACTCAGGGAGACAGAACAGAAATCCAGTTAGTGCCATTTGCTCACCACACCCAAGGACAGACAACTTAACAGAATGAATCTTCCCCCTCAAGAAGACTAGAACTGAGGTCTCCTTGTCTCACTGGTAACGGTTTCACTAACGTAGCATCCAACCAAACCATACATTTACTGGAACAATTAAAACTAGTCAATTTGGTCAAAATAGAGAACGTGAGAATGTCATAAATAAAAATTCTGAGTTGAATGATACTGGGAAATGAGAACAGTAAAATAAGACTTGGGGTCAAGATATTTAGGAAGCAAAAGCAGAAGATTAATGATTAAAAAGATTAAAGCTAAGTACCACTAATGTTTCTCAAAAATTATGATTTCAAAATGAAGCATTTCTGTTGTTATAATTTTAAAAATCACAAGCACATAACATATTTTTGTAGGACATACCAAGAGAAATAAAAACCTGAAGGCATAATTTCTTACCTGTTCAAAATATGAACCCAAGGTATTTCCAGGCAGTGGTTGATAGGTGGTACACTTTTTTTAAAATATGGAGTCCTCTAATTGTATATTAATTAGCATTGATCGGCTTAAACAGCTGTTTGAAAACCTAAATGGATTTTTTAAATTAAATAAGCAATTGACTTGCAGTTTTTTTCTGTGTAAACCAAAGTAAGATACTGCTACATCTGTGTTGATGGATTTTTTTTTTTTTAATTTTCCACGTGCCATTTACTGATCATAGGATTTATTTTATGATTTAAAAAGAATTTTGTCTCTCAATGTGTTTACAGTTTCACCTGGTCTTGTAACTCACCACTCTTAGCTTCTGAGGAAAGGTGAACGTTAGGCCTTTCTAACCTCAACTGGTACACTGGGTGTCTCCCCCCCCCCCACCCCCCTTTCTCTCCAGTCCCCCTCCTGTTTCTTTATCTTCACATCAGCATTTAGTGCCCCTTTTTCTGTATAATAAACTTAATGGAAGTCTTCTTTAGCATAAAAGGAAAGGAAAAACCTCTTCTGCTACCCTCGTACTCCTTCCCATCACATCAAAACTCAGAACATGCTTTCTGTCTCCATGTCCTCACTTCCCGGTCATTTCTTACCCTCTCCTCTCTCACTTTTCCTCTTACTATTTTCTTATGCTGTTCTGTGGAACGTGACCTGGGACACCCTCATTAAACCTAGTTCCTTGTATCAATCTAGTTACCTTTGTATGTTTAGACTGTAACTTTCCATCCCATGGAGCACTGCCTTCTTGGCTACTCCTCCAAAGTTTCTGTGGTAGAGAAGATTCTTCTCTGAGGTTGATTTTTTAATTTTTTTTAAATTTCTTTATTGATTAAGGTATCACATAATTGTCCTCATCCTCTCCATTCCCATCCCAAACCCCTCCCCAGGCATGCCCCCACACCCCTGTTGTCCGTGACCACTGGTTAAGCTTATATGCATGCGCACAAGTCCTTTGGTTGATCTCTCCCCCTTATCCCCACCCTTCCCTACCTTCCCTCTGAGGTTTGACAGTCTGATTGATGCTTCCCTGTCTCTGGGTCTGTTTTTGTTCATCAGTTTATGTTGTTCATTATTTCCTCTAGATCAGGGGTCTGCAACCTTTAAGACATAAAGAGTCACTTGGACCCGTTTCCGAAGGAAAAAAAAACCTGGGTGCCGCAAAACCATTGCGACATTTAAAACAAATATAACACTGCATATATTGTTTCTTACCTTAATGCTATATATCGGATCATGCAGTTAGCTGTCAATCTGAAGAAAAAAAGGACTTTTTCACTTAACAATGTAAAATATATTTTTGCAAATTAATAGCTAATTAAAATATTTAATTTACCTGGTTAATGGGATTTTTGCTCCTGAACCTCAGTGCACAGTGTCAGCACATCAGGGCTGTAAGACGTTACCTTCATTTTCACACAGGCTTGCACGTTGTCGGAGCCGCGGTAAAGCTTCAAAAGAGCCGCATGCGGCTCTGGAGCCGCAGGTTGCTGACACCTGCTCTAGATGGTTGATCCCCCCCACCCCCGCACCCCCACCCTGAGTTTCAACTCTGGGCCCTCAGTTGGTGCTATTTTTCCCCCAGGGTGACCTTATCAGTGCCTACAACTTCAGCTTTCTCTCAGGCTATCTGAATGCCTTTGGAACTGGTTCTTCCTTTTCTGTACTCTAATGGCATTACCATTTACCCTGCCATCTGAAATAGTTAAACAAAACATCACATGCGTCCTTAGTCATCCTTAGTCCTCAAGTCCTTTTTGAATCTTCCTCCCCCAAATCTCTTGCATTTGTCCTTCCATTGGTGCTGAGTTCTTAGTGTAGGCCTTCCCCCCCGCCTCCCTCCCCCCCCAACAAGAATGTCTTTTCCATATGCTCCAGTTAAAAATAACACCCCAGTCCTAGCCAGTTTGGCTCAATGGATAGAGCACAATCCCTTGGACTGAATGGCCAAGAATTTGATTACAGTCGAGGGCCTTGGTTGCAGGCTCGATTCCATCCCCCACACCCCCATTGAGGTGCTTGCAGGAGGC